AACAAAGTGGGGTTGACTGCAGTTTGTATGCTTAGGACAAAAGAAAGAACCTCAAATGAAAATACTGTGGGCTCATGCCTAGTTCTTCAGATGCCTCTTACACTGGCTGGAGATACCATAAAAGTTAAGTGTGTCACCAACGGAATGGATGGAGTGGATAGTTTGAATTTATTAGAGGACAAGAAAGTTTTCTGAGCAGAACATTTCCACTGCATTGCACGTCCAGGACAGCAACAGGACCGTGCACTGCTCTGTGATGACTTGTTAAGAATTCTGCAAGTGTGACAGATGCAGCACCTCTTACTTGAAGATTCCTCTCTCAAGAAAACCATCTTTTATCTTTGTCCCTTGGGATTTATTCCTGTGACACTCCAACTGCTCCGTCTCCACAGAGCTTCAGAGCGTGGAGTGGGGCATCACCTGCGTTTTACGATCTTGGCATGAACTCGGAAGAGTAAGAAAGATATAAGTAGCCCTGCAAGAATGGGAGACAGAACAAGGTGCCAGTTTCCTACCTGCTTCAGGACTCCATTTAATCTACCTTCTCCTCCAATGCCTGGTTTGTCCCAAAGGAGATTTCTTCTCCTTTCCTTCTCTTCCAGATGGCAACTGGTCTTAGCTGCCTCCTGAACCACCTCCTGCAGGAGCCTCTCTCCTTTCTCTGACTCTACAGCACATCAAGAGCAGTGACCAGCAACCCCTGGCTTGAGATTCCCAAGGGAAATCCCACAAGCTACTTTCAAAGGGCCTGTGAAAAGTAAATGGAAAAATATGTCTACCATCTGCAGCCTTAAATTGACTACTGTTGGGGGCTACATTGCCGCTAGACTTGTTTTTTGTAGGGAAGTTATAAATCCAGAAAAAAAAGATTGGAAACTACTGACATGTGCGGACCAAACCGGACAATTCTAACTCACAGAAATGGCTAAAACGTGAATTAAGCTACTTTCAAAGGGCCTGTGAAAAGTAAATGGAAAAATATGTCTACCATCTGCAGCCTTAAATTGACTACTGTTGGGGGCTACATTGCCGCTAGACTTGTTTTTTGTAGGGAATTTATAAATCCAGAAAAAAAAAGATTGGAAACTACTGACACGTGCGGACCAAACCGGTCAATTCTAACTCACAGAAATGGCTAAAATGTGAATTAATAAACCAAGAGGGGCCCACCCGAGCATGGCAAAGGCAGGCACAATTCTGTGCAACCTTGCTGAAGAATTTAAATCACAAATTTAAAGACTTCCCAGGTCAGAGAATACCAATTATTTCCATCTGCAGACATAAATTAAACCACCAAATTCCCATTTGCTTGCTTGCTAAGAGAATTTCTGATTCAGTTACCCTCAGATGTACAGTGCATTCCCTTGCAATGGTCTCTCTTCTTTACATTAATAAACAAATACCTCAAGTCTATGCACAGGAGGTCAAACGCCTGTTTCCTTACAGGTAATTTGAAGAAGGAAAAAGAGAAAAAAAAGAGCCAGCAGAGGACACATCTCCTGCAGAAATCTTAATTAAAAAAAGCCCCAAACCCACGAACCACCACCAAACAAACACACACATAACTAGAAAAAGAAAGATTGTTACAACCTACTTTACCTCTCGGGGTTTTTGGTCTATCTCTTCCCTGAGGACAACTCAGGGTCTTCCTTCTCGAGCAGCCGACCTAGATAGCTCTGGAATTCACTGCTTCAGTTACAACCCTTAATAATTTAAGATGTTAGTTACCCCCCGATATGAGACAGTCAGCCCTGGAGCATCTTTCTTTGCCTATTTCTGCTTCCTTGTATTTCAGATTAAGCTTCATACCAACATTATGCTATCGCTAAACAGCGCTCCCTCCCCCTGAAGGATGTCTGAATGGGAATGAGTTTATCTTCATTATGACCATTCAAATACTGTCAACATCATATTCTTCCAGCCTAAAATTCAGTCATTGAGGAATTCACCTTTTCTGCCTTTCATTATCACTTTCCATCCAGAGCAGGGGATGCTTAGGTTGGAAAGCTTGCCTTGACTATTAATCCTTCCAGGAGCGAGAAAGCTGCCTGTATCTCATCTCATCATTTCCCTCTTTCCCAGCAAAAACAAACCCATCACCCATAATCTTGCTTCAAACACATTACCTATTTTGCTATAGGCTGCTCTCTAGGGTTTAAACAACCTCAAGGTAATAAAGTTATTTAAAGCAAGCTGCTCTTTCCACACAATTCTTCTCATCATTAATTCCTATTCAGCATATAAACCTTGTGCAGTAAGAACAGCACAGAGACCCCTGAGCCTACACAGGCTGGAGCTGGGTCGGTCCCCGGACAGCAATGTAACTGTGTGACGACGTAACGGTTTGGCAAAACCAGCTGTAGTGTTTGCTGAGCATCCTTCCACATGGCTTGCAGGCTGGACATCTGAAGAAGGTTGAGACACACGGCCGAGTTGCCACAGAATAAGCTGTGACTAACAGTTGGGCCGTGGTAACCAACATTTGCATCCAACTTGTTCCTTGCAAATACAAGGTCAAATTTAGCTTAAATATCTTTCCGCACAGTTTACGCCAACATCATGCGGCATTTGCTACAAGCCCACTGCGAGTTGCTGTGGGCCAGCTGATACACGCACCTGATCCTCTCAGCAATTTTCGTACTGTAAAACACATTCAAACCTACCTCCAGGCCTTAAACAACTCCGCCATATGTGCTATTCTGCTCTGTTCATCCAACACCTCCTTCTTCCCACGCACACATCCCTCCTTAGTTCTTGCTTATAGCTTTTTAAGCCACTTCCCTCCATGCTACTGTTAAGCCTGGAATTACCTCTCACAGTTCACAGGTGGGTCATATTGCCACCTCTTCTCCCTCTCTGTTCCTCTTATCCTGGCTATCACCCTCAGTGCTTGCACCACTCTTCCAGTAACCCATCGCTATGATAGTTTCCATGTAAAATTTTCAGAATGCTTAATACTGATTAATATTTAGAAAATATCCACAGGGAATCATTGTCTGTGGTTCTCTGGGGCTGTCGAAGTCACGAACTACTGACTTGTAGTTTCTTCCCACCTGAGAAGGTGAAAAATCTCGTTCTGGGATCAGGATTCCCTCTTCCCAGCTCCTCACCTACACTGGTGCAGTAAGCCACCTGTCCTCAAAACACTAATATTATGCCTTCCTTCTTGTTTTTCTCTCACACTTTTCCTTTGCCTTCTATTATTTTTCTGCAGAATTGACTGTGTCGCTTAGCAGCAAAAGAAAAACCAGACAATTAAAAACCAGTAGTTTGTTTCACGAGATGCCAGACACCCACTTATAGCCCCTATGGGAACTAAAGTGATTTTGTGATTTCTTGCAGACAACGAAAAGGATCAACCATAAACACAGCAGAGGCACCTTGAGGGGGTTTCTCACCGATAACTTTATAGCACACTGGCTACATCAGGGAAAATGGGGTTCAAGCTCATTTAAGACCTCTGTGATATACACTTGGAACATGTCAAGAATCCAAAGCTCCTCAGAAAGAATATGAGCCAGGTGGTTCAGCATCCTGTGAATCCCCTCCTCTGCCTAGAAGGAAGAGGATTATTGCTGTTCCAAGTATCGTTCCTTAGGCTGCTGCAGGTCCCGGTAGAGATAACGTTTTGGTGAGATGCTGGCATGTTGAGTTGAGAGTTGCTTATATCTGATTTCATTTTCATCCTTCATTGTCAAGGCAAAGGTACAACTACTGAGAAAAGCATGACCATGAAGCAGAGATGCCTTTTGAATTTACATACAGAATTAGCAAAATGTTTTCACCTTCTGGCACACTCTGTGCCAGGTTTTGACAAGACAGAGCTCCCAGCAGAGTCTCTGAGTATTTACCTGAGGGTGGAAAACCACAGGGTGGTAAGAGACTGCAGTTTCCGTAAAGTCTTACCTTCAGTCTATCTTTTAGCAAGTCTGTATTTGAAGAAAACTGCATTTCCCGGAATCTAATTTATACACTGAGTAACCTCCTATCCCCCCACCCTCAAGATAAATAAATGGCTAAACTGAAATACTGAATATTGTAAGGCCTTGTTCAATCAATTATTTTTTTTCTCTAAGATTACCCTGCAGACCTTAAATGATCAACTACTTAAACATACTCTTTCAGAAAAGCAATTTCTTAGCTGCTAAGAAGTCAGAGTGATATCCAGAACCATGGCAAAACACATCTGGTGTTTGTTTCAGAGAAGGAGAGTTGAAGAGGCATTTTTGCAGAACGAAACAAAAGCTGTTTTGCTTAAGAAGGGAAATTGCTGTGCTGGTCTAACACCTTCCTTAACACATGTCAGGATAGGTTTTTGTGTATGTACATCACCTTTCCTACAGCTTGGATGGGTTACCATCTCGAAGCTTGTAGGGGCTGGAAATCTGAATAAATTACTCAACTGCATCTGTCTGTATAACAGTTTGAAAATAGCAAGGAAATCTCGATCAAACCCAATTTTAAGATTACCTTCAGTTTTTAAGCTCTTGAGCGGGAACCTTCCTTGTTCTCTGTTTGCACAGTGCCTAGTGCAGCAGGGTCCTGTCGTGACTAGGGGTCCTAAGTTCTACAGCAATACAAATAATAAATAGAAAATAATAACACATAGTATATGATCAATAATACCTACTTTATACCCTGTTTTTCAAAGACACACTGCACCCCAGCAAATACTTGAAAAAAAAATATGGCAACAAAGTTACCAAAAGTTGCGAGACAAATGCAATTTGTTTGATGCAAATATCTAACCTTAAGGTTCAAGTGGCTGGGAAACTCATTAATGGTATTGCTTCACCAGCACCGAAAGGAACAGACCAGAGAGATGTAACCAGCTCATGCACAGCCTTGGGAGTCCAGCAGAAACCAGGAGGACACATTTGTTTAGAAGCTGAGGCAGTGTTTCCATGAACAGCTTCTCATCTCAGCCACCTATTTTCATGCTAAAAGGGAATACATACTGGAAAGGAATTCCAGTGGCAGATTTTTTTTTTAGTGTTGGCCTTTTCATTTGGAAAAACAAATAAAAGGAAACAGATAAGGTAGGCAAATTGTAACGAAGCATTTCATATATCCCCTATGGCTATCTCATTTTTCCCAAATGACTGCTGCATGAAATTAAAAAATTAAAGACTGGGATTTGAGAACAAAATTATAAATTAAAAAGGAGACATTTAGAAGAGCGTTTCCTAAGGGTTTCATTCCTTCCCCACTCTGCAGCAAGGACAGCAAAAATACAATCCAAAAGAGAAAAGAAGGAGTCAGAGGGGATTACAGAGTCCAGTCTTTCAGCCCGTCTCCCATTTTGCTAATTTTTACAGTAGGTTATTTAAGAAGCAGTAGATGTTCTGATAGAAAGCAGGCAGCAGCAAAAACAGGCATCGTCTACTCCTTCCAGCGAGGTCTGTGCAATCTCAGTCTCAGTCTCTTGCTCCGGGGAGGAGAAGTTTTCCTTCCCACACTTGTCACTGCCTTCCAGTGTGGGAGAGGGGAGAAGTGTCTGCCAGAGACCAGGATCTGGCACTTCAGAGGCTCCCCTCCCTCCGCTGGGCTAAAAGGAACTCAAGTATTCCAGTGCAACCTCGTATACAAATTTATACTGTTCCTGAAAGAGAGAACAGAAACCGGTGGCATTAGAATATGGGTAAATTCTTCAGAGCCTGACTCTACAGGCTGCCAAAATGCATCCTCCCTCTTTCTTATACCGTTTGGCAGGACCGGGCAAACACAAATTGCATTTCTGTGTGATCCTGAACAAGCATTACCAGAGATAGTATCATCAATGGAAGAGAAAAACACTCAAAGAGACAGCCACAGTATGGACTATTCATTACTCGCTCCAAGCCCTCATTGCACGCATTGCTTCTGAGGCAAGAATTCAGCGTGATCGATTGAGGCGATTGAATTCCAGACAGTTTAATCTGTTTGGTTGCAGGGAGCAAGGGCTGGCATTTGGGCTGTTCTCCCTTCCTGGTTTCAAGGCACATCACAGCACTAAGCATTGGGCTGTACAGGAGGGCAAATCTCACTCCCTGCCCACACCTACTTGGGGTTTAAGCTCCTGAAGGCAGCTGGCCATGGCAGACAGAGGTCATCTCCCTCCAGGGCAGCTCCTCCCCTCACTGCTCAAGAAGCAAAGCAGTGGGACCAGTGGATTTGTTGCACGTGCTAAAATGGGGCTTGATTTTAATTCTGATGGCTTCACGTTATGATTCATTTTGATTCACACTGGGCTGAGCCACGAAATCTTTTTATCTGCCCTCAAGTCCCCCTGCACACACTGGGTGGGGGAAGGCGTGGGGAAATGAGGGCTATGAAGGTGATTAGGGGACTAGAACATCTCTCTTATGAGGAAAGGCTGAGGGACTTGGGGCTTTTTAGCCTGGACGAGAGAAGACTGAGGGGCAATCTTATCAATGTTTGTAAATACTTAAAGGGTGGGTGTCAGGAGGATGGGGCCAGTCTTTTTTCACTGGGGCCCAGTGACAAGACAAGAGGTAATGTGCGCAAACTTGAACAGAGGAGGTTCCATCTAAATGTGAGGAAGAACTTCTTTACTTGGAGGGTGGCAGAGCACTGCAACAGGCTGCCCACAGAGGTGGTGAAGTCTCTGTCTCTGGAGACATTCAGAACTCATCCGGACACCACCCTGTGCAACCTGCTGCTCTGGGTGACCCTGCTCTGGCAGAGGGGTTGGACTGGATGATCTCCAGAGGTCCCTCCCAACTCCTGACATTCTGTGATTCTGTGAAAAAAGCTTACCAGTGACTCCACCATGTTGGATTTGTTATTCCGTAATGTTTTTACTATGTGGAACACATCAATGATGTTTTGCTGTTGAATCATTTCGCACACGCTGCAGATGGCGCAGAAGGTGCCGCTGCGTCCTCCACCATTCCTGGGCGGGGAAGAAAAAAGGCAAGAGGTGAAGCCAGGCAAGGCTGAGGGGCAGGAGGAGAGCACTGCTTCCACAGCAGCTCACATGCCACAGGTACTAGGAGAAGTACAGAAAGATGGGCTGAGGACATTCAAGGGTTTGTGAAAGTCCTACTCACAGGCAGTGGACAACAGTCCGTCCATCTCTCCCATCGTACTGTTCCTGCCACTTCTCCAACCTTCTGACCACCTTGAGGAGGGAGCGTTTGGAAGGAGGGGTGTCCCTGTACGCCGGCCAGCCAATGTACTGCAGGTGCTGGACTATGCGATATCCATCCTGAGGCTAAAACAAAGAGCGTTTTCAAGATGCTAAATGGAACAGGGCAGGAGGCGGAGAGATAGAGTAAAGCAGGGAGCACTGTTTACATGGCATCCTCTCCTCTGGGTCTGATATAATCAATATTAACATTCTCCCCTTGGACACCTGAAGCAGTGGGGAGACAAGGACTTTTTGCTAATCTGGATAACAACGATGAGCTCAGATATTACAGAGCCAGGCAGACACTGGGTGCATGAGATCCCTTGTTTTGTTTCCAGTGAGGAATAAAGTCTCACCAGATGATATGAACAGATCAGATGTGTCTTTGCTGGTTGCCGGTGCTGGAGATTAGCTGTGCCATAAGAACTAAAGGCAAGGAAGGCCTTCAAAAAGATCTCCAGGGCCTGTGGCAGGAAAGGATCCTCATAAAGATTTTAGCAGTGGCCACGGATGCTGAACAGAGATGGGTGCAGAGAGCTGCGAGCTCACAGCACCCATTCTGCCAGTGAGGCATTTACGAGCCAGCTTCAGCCTGTGAGTCACAGAGCCTTAGTTTTATTAGCTATATGACTTTAGCCTGTCCCTGCTCAGAGGCAGTTGGCCTAGGATATAGGAATCAAACCGATTTATCAAGTTGGACCACCAGGTTCACTCTGCAATGCCACGACTGAATTGCTGCACAGGCTCTGATCATGCAATCAGAGACTGATGCATTAAACAGCATGGAAATGTAATTTGTGGAGCCTGTTTTCTAATTTCTGATTAGAAAAAAATGAAAAAGGAGAGAAAAAAAGAAAAAAAGACACATAATCAATCTGGGAAACAACTAACGAGAGAAACACCCTCTAGTGAAACCCTTTCCTGCAGCCCTGAAGCTGCATTGCCAGGGTAGTGTCCAGATAAACATTTTTCTACAATTTTAGCCATCCTGGGGCTGAGGGATACAGATGAAGAGTTGCTTACAGAAATGGCAGCTGCTTACTTGTAGGAGAAACAGTGGCAATTGGGAATCCCAGCCTAGCCAGTAAACGTTGCATCTCTCCTCAGAGACACCGCACAGTAGCTGACAGATGGAGAGCTGCTGACGCTACCCCAGTTTATTTCCTATGATACTGATGGTTTTACATTGGCTACTAAGTGATTAGCTGTTCTCAGATATACACAGAAAAATGTTTTCCATTTAAATACAGATTTTCAGCTCATATCATCTACTTTCAGCCAAGAGTCTTTTACCAATACAGACTGATACAATTAATGTTAATTAAAGGAAATAGTCACTTCCGCAGTAGAATCTTGGTCCTAGGTGAGAGATTCAGCATCTCTAAATCTCAAGTCTTGGTTCTGCCTCTTCTCTATGTCAAAATATATTTTTGAGAATAATAGGGAATCCAGTATTTCCCTGATCTTACCCTGGCCATGTTGCAGATCCGGAATATCCGGTTGATGATGTCTTCATCAATGTCTGCCGAAACAAACTCTACTTGAATTGGGCCATAACAACACGATGTCTTCTCTGGCCAGTACTGCATGCAGAGCTGGAGAGAAGGCCAAAAGGCACAGAAAGCACCTTAACTATTAACAACGAAGCACATGTTCAGTCTTCTTTACTTTCAGATTTAAAAGCAATTCAAAACCCATAAAACATCTTGTATTACCTGTATTTACTTGAAGAAGACCACCTTCTAGCTCAGTAAGTTTTTTATAGCATGCATATGAAGAAAACAAGAAATGTATTTTAAATCCCCAGCTTTTTTTCCCCCTTTTCTTTTTGTCATGAACACTATTTGCAATTGATAGAATTCTGAGGTCTAAAAGTGTAAAAAAAGGTGGATAACAAACAGCTTCTGCAGGTGTATAGATTTAAGAGGAGAATTAAAAGATTAGTCTCTGAAGGGAAATTTAAGAGAAATCACACAGATTTCGTGTTAATGAGTAACAGTACACACACCAAGAAAATTAATCTTAATTGAAGCAAAGTAGAAATTCTTTTTTTCCTGCAAGACTATTTTTTTTCAGTTTTTGGACTTCACCAGCAAGAAAAGGAGAGAGAATGGTTTTGCTCTGAGAGCAATGAGAGCAACTTTGACTCAGGGTGAACCACAACTGAATCTCGGAAGTTTGCAAAGAAGGTTGGAAGTCTTTTTTCGTGTGCTGATACTACTGAATGGAAAGTACAAAAAAAAAAATCCTATCCACACAAATTACAGTCTAAGTATTTCAAATCTGTCTGGAAATAGATCATGGCGAGAAAATATTTTGCATGAGAACTCATTACCAGTTTCTGCTGAGATTGTATTTCTTTCTGGTTTTTTCTTCCTATTTTCAAGTGTAATTTTTTAGAAGTTTTGAAGCCCCCAGATGCTCATTGAACTTGATCTCAAGCTTTTCAAGTTCAATCACTGCCAGTAATAACGTCAAGTGTGTGCATGCTACTGCACTAATTCTGTATTCCTGTTATTCCTTTGATCATACGGGATTGAAATTGGGTGGGATATTCACGCAATCCTATGCATCTTTGCCCTTGTTAGTTTTTCAAGATGAAGCAAGCCAGCCAAGACCACATAAGCAAGTCCTCCTTTGAAGGTTGTTGTTACTCTACATTCAGTCTTCCAGTCTACAGATCTCTCAAAGCATCTGCCGTCCAATAGGCAAGGAGATGTGAGCTGAGCAGGTGCTTTAGGAAACAATCTCAAGGTGCACTGGAAAGAAGATAAAATCTGCTTTTCATGAAGCAGGTCTGGAAATGGCCATCTACCCAAAGGTACATGTACATACTGTGCTTAAAATGGTCTGTTACGTTCTGTGACCTCCACAGGGGTTTATGTGCACCTTTTCCCTGCAGAGTGGATTAATGGTTCACTTACCTATTGATTTTAACTCTTTTCCTCTCTACACTTCAGGCACAGCCTGATAATTACCGCAGTGTCATACAACAATGGTGCAAACACAACATTGCTAAATTTTGATTTCAGAAACCCCACTTTCACAATTTTCTGCTGATCTACTGGGGGGTGGGAAGGCTCTGCAGAGGGTCCTGGGCAGGCTGGATCGATGGGCTGAGGCCAATGAGATGAGGTTCAACAGGGCTGAGTGCCGGGTCCTGCCCTTAGGTCACACCAAGCCCCGGCAGCACTGCAGGCTTGGGGAGGGGTGGCTGGAGAGCTGCCCGGCAGAGAGGGACCTGGGGGCATTGGTGGACAGGCAGCTGAACGTGAGCCAACAGTGTGCCCAGGTGGCCAAGAAGGCCAACGGCATCCTGGCTTGGATCAGGAACGTTGTGGCCAGCAGGACCAGGGCAGGTATTGTCCCCCTGTGCTCAGCACTGGTGAGGCTGCATCTTGAACCCTGTGTTCAGTTTTGGGGGCCTCACGATAAGAAAGACATTGAGGTGCCCAAGTGTGTCCAGAGAAGGGCAGCGAAGCTGGTGAAGTCTTACAAGGAGTGGCTGAGGGAGCTGGGGTTCTCCAGCCTGGAGAAAAGGATTCTATGATCCTATGATATCAAACTGTCACAGCTTGCCCTGAAAGCTCGAAAGATAGACTTTAAAATCATCCTTAACTTCCAGTATTAGGTGCGTGCTTTTGGCTTTGCCTGAAGGTTTGAGCTGGGTGACACCATGCTACAGTAACCTTCAAAGTGACTTCATGTGTTGCTCTATCTCCTTTTCTGTGCCTTCAGACTAACCTCATAAAGAGAAAACTTTGCTATGAAAAAGTAAAGCAGGTAAAGTCTTGTTGCAGGAAGACAGTTGCAAGAATAACACTGGCTGAGGCAAATCAGTTTGTTTTCCAAGAACACAGTGTGAGAAATCATGCCATTTCCAGAAAAAGTTGTGTTTTCCTTTAAAGAGTCAGCAGAAAAAAAAAAAAGAGAAGATGAAATTTGCCTCTGGATTCAATGCCAAGATGCAGATTCAGGCAAGGTGAATTGGACAGGAGGTAGCAAGTACACAGGACCTCGAGTTCCTCGCACAGTGGTGGGACTCTGCAGGTCACCAAGAGATGCCACTTCTGAGCAGAGCTCTCACTGCAACTGGAAATTAAATCCCATAATATTCACCTTGATGGGAGATCCCCTCCATTACCATCAAAAAAAGAGACCAATAACCTTGCTGCCTTCAAGTGTGGCAAGATTTTGAAGACAGAGAAGAGACAAATGAAAAATTAATCCAGGGAGTACCAACTACTCAAGGGTTCCACTCCTCTTGTTTAACAAGTGCTGTAATGGGTGAATTAGCCATGCCAAATGTGCTCTTGACACAAATTGCATGATTACGCCTTTTTGAAAGCTATCATCTTCTGCCACTCATCAGCAAGGTGGCTGGAAATGCTAGTACAGGAGGGACTGCGATGGTTCCTCTCCTGCCAAGCTCAACTCCTGAAAATAACGGTGTGCTTAGTAGCCAAGAAACTTATATGTGACACTAGAAAGAAAAAAAAAAGACATGGCACAATGTCCTTCTCCAGAAACTGTGCAAATCGTATTTCTCAGCATTACACAACTGCATTGGAAATCTCAGGGGAAAGACCCTTCACATGATTTCAGCATCTCGGTTTGTTTCTTCTGGAAATGCCATGTGAACAGCCAGGTGTGAAGCTCCCTGGGGCTGCGGTAGGGAATATTTTTCTGAACCAAAGAGAGACAAAAACCTGAAAGGGAAGAAAGCTTCTTCGGGAGGAAGATGTAGGCCCAGACACAACGTTTTTAGATAACCCTGTTAACTGAAGCAAGAATTAGGAGCTAAGCATGTAGACTTCACTATACCCCAAACCATTACCTATTACTTCCCAGTTCCCCTTCATTTATTTATTGGGCTGGGGAGGCAGGAGGCACCCAAGAAAATGGCAGCAGAAACACTCTGAAAACTTTCTGGATTTGAAAAGAAGGTTAGATGACAGAACTGAGGAACAACCCCTTACCTGTGCTGCGTCCATCTCGTTCAGCATCACGACCGAGGAGCAGTTATAATCAAACACCAGCCTCCAGAAGTCTGCGATGGTGTTGGGCAAAGGGTGTTGGGTTACAATAAAGGCAGCAGGTTGCTTGTGGCTCTAACAAAAGAATAAGATTAGTTAAAAAAAAAATTCAATCAACTTTTATTCAAACGAATATTATACCCGGGAGGCTATGGCTGGGCAATCTGAGCCATTTAACCAGATTATACAAATCACATATCCTTCTCCTTGTTATCACTCTGCAATGAATGAATGTCTCATAATGGGATTCTTTTGCTCCCAATGAAGTCATTTCATTAAAGAAGTGTCACAAGAGCAGAGATTACCCAAATCAATTATTTATATTTTGAGACTCAGCAAATAATACTAATTCAGCTATTACTACTACTACTACTATCAGTAATATTAATAATTGGAAAGAAAACAGCTGGAAGCAAATGCTATCCTTTTTGCGGCGACGGACTCTAGGAACTACAGACGGGATTAGTCCCCTGCACCTGCTACTGCTCCCTGGTGATGTAGGGCTACAGAGGTGGCCGTTGGGATCCCAGCCATCCTTTTTAAGAGCTTGTGGAGCAACATTCAGGGCTTGCCACATTGGCATTTAATTTCTGATGCTATTCTTTCACCTCCAAAAAGCCCTCTGACCTCAATCTCCCTAACCATGAAGGGGAGGAACCGTGTTCCTGACCTCTGTGGCACTGTGTTAATGAATGGCTGGAGGCACTTGGAGAGGAAAAGAGACAAGCTCAAAACTTTATTATCGTTTTCCAGCCTTGGCAGGGGTTGTTTAGAGGAGCTTACAAACCGCACCGTCCTTTCTGCTGTACAGCTGTGAAGCAGATTTGAATCAAAAGACACAATATATCTGAGTGCAAAAAAAACCAAAAAAACCCAATCAAACCAAAACAGATTAAGATTTAGCTTTAAAGTAATAATAAAACCCCTGAAGTGTTAAAATGAGTCAGGTGTGGGTGGAAATGCTGTGCAGCCTGTGCTGGGAGGGGGAGAGGGTGCTGTGCACACTCTGCCCCAGCGTGCAGGGCGGCCGTGCCACACGTCTGAGCGGGCACGTGTGAGGGGGGTGCCGGCACACGGAGAAGACAGAAGGAACATGAAATGATTTCTTGGGAAATGATTGGTCTGGAATGGATTTTCCTCTTTCTCCCTAGTCTGTATTTCAAATCGAGGAAAGCTAGGGTGGGTCAAAAGCCATGTTGTACAAAATTAACAGAAGCAACAGAGAGAGGTAAATAAAATAGTGAATTCTATCTCTTAACTAGCGTTAAGAACATGATAAAAAAGAATTTGCAAGTCCATCCTCAACAACAGCGCCTATGAAAATGTTGGATTTTGGCTGTTCCTCTTTCTGATTTTTTTTTTTTTCCTAAAGCTGCTGATTCCTCTATGGCAGGATAAAAGCAAGATAGAGAACATCTTAGTGGCTGAATTTCAATGATGGATGAAAAAATTTTAATTAGCAGGAATTTTGTGAGGATGGATACAAGTATTAGCCAAGTGATTTGAGGTAATGAGGGCTGAGATGTGCAAACACATTCCCAGTCCCTAAGAAACCAGAGAAGAACTGATTGTGCTTCTGCAGATTTGCCAAAGCGCAAACCAGACTTTAAAGAAGTTTCCTTAGGCATATTTGCAATGAAAGCATCACCATCCTTCTGAAAAAAATCTGAAATTAATTCTATGACCATTTGACTTAACCTCTTAAATGCGGTTATATCGCTGTTCCCCAAAGAGCGAAAGAACAGACAAAATTAAAAGAGACCAGCCCCAACATTGCTAGGGAAAAAAATGGTGACATTTCACCCTGGATCGTATTTACACATAGTCCAACTGCAATAATTAGTGGCTTTAAAGACATTTCTGTCCAAAGGCAGTTAGGGACCACAGCAAAAAGAAGCCATCAACATAATTCATCCTGTATAAACGACCTGTGCTGTGAGATTCTAGCCTATAAACAAAGCAAGGGAAAATGCCTTCGGACAGATTCACATCAGCTTCACATTCACAACTCATGTCCTTCAGCCTTAAAGCATTTTGCACATCTGATCCCTCTACTTCCATATTCTTAACTGCATAAGCTCAAATAAATCACTCCCTCCACACTGCAAAACGCTCTTTTCGAAGAGCTGACCTGGCAGCTCCTGGCTAACATTTCTCTTCCAACTCCTACGACAACCAACGTATGGGAGGAGTTGTCCCACCATTTCTTTGTCCCTCTGCCTTTCTGTGATACAACCCCAGCCACACACTCACGAACTTCTTTGTCAAAATTTGTCCACTCGTGTGAGGCAGTACTACAACAGCAGCGTAGTAATATGATGGTCATGGTCTGGGTGACGCACTTCTGTGTGCCTTTGCCCAGTTTGGAGACACCAGTCCCAGAAATTACAAGGCGGGGGGAAAGTGTTTTTTTTCTGCTTTGGATCCCTTTCTCCCAGAAAAGTATCTTGAGAATGAATAAACTCAAAGCAGACTAGGACGAGCGGGGACAGTGCAGTGCTGCTTACATCCATGAGCGCGGCATTGATGTAGTTACTCGATTCTCCATCCACTGAGATGAGGAAAGGCAGGCACCGGTCCAGGGGCAACACATCCATGCAGCGGTTCTTGTCATGGTTCCTTGGCAAAAGACCGATGCTGCAATCTTCGGGCCGAACACGCGGTGTCACGATATTGAGAGTCTGTGAAGGCGAGGAGGGAAGAAGGGAAAGAAAGACAAAAGCAGGATGAGTGCCTTTGAATTTACTTCCCAGAAGGATGCCACCTGCACAATACATTTATTTTAAAGGTACTTAGACTATCAGATCTTTGGGATCCCTGAAAATGAAAAAGAAGGAGCACTGAGGAGCTCGTGCTGTTACAACACGTTGCATTTTGCGCATGGTCCTGAGGCACTCTTCCGAAAATCATAAATCCCAGCAACAACTGAGAGCACTATACATCCTCCAAAATTTTCCATCTCTAAAACCCCACAGCAGTTGAGTAACATTCTTGTTCTCTCCTAGAAGCTAGAAATAGCTGTCACGGGTACAAATTGCAGCTTTGGCCCAGTCATGGAGTGAAACCTCCTCGTGTTTCTACCATCCCTAGGGTTAAAGCATGCAGCCTTCTCCCTCTTCCAGTAAATCCTGTGCAGAAATACTCTGAGTACTGAGGTGCTCACCCTTCAGATCCTCTGGTGATTCCACAGTCAAACTATTGATTTATCTTAACAATTCTTACAAAAAAATCCCCAAAACCACACACATCCCCCCAAAAAGAATTCCTACAAAAACAATCAATCTTTTTCTTAAAGAGAAGTCTGTTTGCTTCATGTATTATTTAGATTGCCACTTTCCTTTCAGAGTGACACACAGGATGCTTCACTTCCATAGTCATACCTTATCTCTGGGGTCTTGCTGTCAGTCTCTTACCCTTATCTGTCTTTCCCACAGCTTGACAAACTGTTTTTCTTGAAATCTAATTTTCTTTTGTGTTATCCATTGCAGAGGCCTCCTGACAAACCAGCCCAGGTTGGTCAGCAGGGATCAAAAATAGCAAATCAAAGTGAATGTATCTTAATATTGTCACTTAAGTTGTGGTAGATCAGTGGCTATCTGATGTCACTCTCACTTATTATGTGTCTTCTTCCTGAGCAAAGCCCGTGCAGTCACGCAGCGAAATCCTCTGCAGCCATCAGAGGAACACAAAATAGGGAGAGGCCAAAGACTCTTACAAAGTGCTTGACTTTTGCCACAGAGAGGTTATGAACAGGGAAAAGAGGAGGGTCAAACAACCTAAGATAGGGGAATGTGTCAAAATTTAAATAATATAGTTGCTCTAAATAATGCAGGTTCAACACAAAAGTCCATTGTCAAGAGACAGAAAGCAGGTAGTTTGGCTAAAGCAGCACGAAATCTCAGATCTCTGACAGTGCAGATGATTCGGCAGGTGACTTGTTAGTGATTTACTGTCTGGTTTATGCCCTTCCCCTCCCTTCCTTGCTTTTTGTACTTACTGGGATTACAAAAACTCTCCAGAATGAATTTTTGCATGTTCAGACAACATGCAGTGCATGAGGAATACCTCCAGCTGTGCCTGAGGGCCAGTGGGACCTAAATAATACAAATTGCACCAACAGGTCTATAGTTAAATCAACTTGTTCACAGAGATTGCAGCAAAGGTACAGTGTTTTGCACTAAATCCAGACTGACTAGGGCTGAAGAACACCCTGAGCCAAAATTCCATAAAAATAGAATCTACAACTAGACAGAGAACGAACCTCTTATGCAAAGTATGGTGAACCATTTCCTTCCCACAGGAGTTGCCAGCCCCTGGCAGTTCAAAAGAACAAGCACACAGGCGACAGAGCTCGTCTCCTATCATGACAAAATAAGCTCAGCAAGTGCTGACTTTTTTT